CATTCCTTCCCTTTCAGGGACCATTTTTTCCATTTTAGGGACCATTTCTTCCCTTTTAGGGATCATTCCTTCCTGAGCTTACCGTGTTGTACATCCTGGCCTGGTGCCCTTGCAAACACCATTTCCACTGAATAGATCCCCACATTCTGCACTCACTGCTTTCAAACCAGTTCAGGACCCCTGGCCTGTGCTCCAGATTAATCAGAGCTCGTTTTTAGCCAGAATATCACGGAAGCTCTGTGGCACTGCCATTAATCTTTGATTCTCTGGGCTTTTATTAATGATGGTGACACCAAATGCACCTTCTGGTGTGAGGGGAGCTGCAGGAAAGATAATGTTATTTCTGAATCAAATTATCCTTCCTCTTTGTACTTAATTTAGAACACAATTTGCTGGAGGCTGAAAAGCCTTGGCTTCAGTTTGCACAGACACATCATATGTGTCTGCCTGTCCAAATATTTTACCCTTACATTTTACAGCAATAGCAGGGCCTATAAAAATGATGGCAAAAAGCCTATTGATTTCATCTGAACAGGAGCCAGCAGAAGCTGATTTTACCTGGACACTGTTCTCCAACAGATGTAGCTCAGTAATAATTCATGTTCTTGAATCCAACGTAGAGCTATGAATGCACAATAAAAAAAAAAATCACAGTTCTGAGTCTGTTACTTTCCTCTCTGTTTAATCAACAGGAACAGAGAAGGAGCAGATGACCTGTAATAAAAGATTTTAGCCATTTCTTCTGCACTTCTTTGCTGAAATGAAATCATCTTTCACTCTGGAAGAGTGAGAGGGTAACACAGCACCGTGTTACGATTTATGAGACATTTTTTTTGGTGATGCTTTCACCACACCACATTTGTAACTGCTGAAAAATAACCTGGACAGGAAAGCCTGGAGGAGTAAAAAGATTGTTGTTCTGTAGGAAAGGAAAGAGTGAGGTACTATTTCAGAGCTTATCGCAGATGATGCCAGCAGAGGAGATGTGGCTGTAATTTCCTTGCATGAAATAATTTGCAGAGGCACATTAATTAGTGTGAGTGTGTGAGGAGACAGACAGGAGCTCTCCAGTTCTGTCCTGGAAAATACCAGAGGTCCCTGGGAGAATCTGGAGGAGAATTTTCAGGGTTCCATGGAGGTTTACCCCAAATCCATCTCGTGCCCCAATCAGCCTCACACATCAGGCTGCTGAATGGGAGCTCTCTGTCCCCTCAGTGTTGAGTGAACACAAACTGGGGATGGTTTTTTCCTCCTTTCCCTTGGAACAGAGTGGAAGGGCAGATCTGCCTGTGGGTTCAAATCCTGAATTTCAGTATTTGTTTTGTATGATTTGTCTGTCTATGATTTGTGTTGGTCTGTCATGCTTAGAACATGAAAAGTGCTCTGTTTAATGAGAAAGTGGACTCTCTTTCTATTCCAGCTCCCAAAGCCCTGATTCCATCTAGACCCCATTTCCCTCACAAAGAACCTTTCAAAAGCAAAGAATTTCAAAAATCACTGCTATGAGTGGTTCAAGAATCTACTCAGTAAAAAAGTCCCAAAATGAGCTGTCCTCATTGCAGATTTTTTGTTAGCTTGAATTTCTTGCTCCAGAAGTGGGTCAATATTCAGACACATACAAAAAGATCTTTTGTTTTCCCAAGTATGTGTGAATTTTGTGGAATTCTTTTAGGATACAGAAAAGCATATCTTTATTTTCAACATCTAACATGCCAGAACCAGTGGCTTTGAAAACATCCTCTCCTCTAACGTGGTTTTCATTAGGAGAATGCACTCCCAAACTGAAATCAGTGCCAGTTTTCAGAAAGCAATCCAGTGTGTTCTTGCCTTGACATCTGTTGGTATAAATAATGTAGTAAAATGGGAATTTGGAAGAATTATTTGTGTATACTTGAGAAGATTTGTAACTGGGTGGTGATTCTGACAACCTGCTCATACAGGCAGAGCTGCACTCAGCTCAGATATTGAAGCCAGCAAAAAGGAGCACTGTGATTATTGCTGGATCACTCTTGCAGCTCAGATTTACAAGTTTCAAGCAAATAAAAAAAAGAAATGTCTGACTGGCATGGGAGTGTCACCAGGAGCAACCTTGGGAGCAGCTAAGCCTGGAAGGGAAGTTTGCTGTGAAAGCTGTTTTGTTTTTTGTTGGGATTTACATTTCCAATCAAAAATCCAGGAGGATTTTGGCCTGTGTGGGGTGTTTGCAAGCTGGTGAAAGCAGAATGGGGACTTGCTCCACTAAGCAGATTTTAAATTCACCAAAAAATATCCTTGTGGAATGGAAAGCTGAGAGCTGTGCACTGATATTAGGGATATTTCCATTACCAGAGCAATATTTAATTGGCAGTTGCCCTAAGTGGACCCTTCTGAGCTTAGTTTGACATTTGTCCATTATCATTTTGCACAGGATTTGCCATGCAGAGTAACCAGTGAGCACCTGCTGTGCTGCCCAGGGGATGGGTGAGTAACTCTCATTCTTTCTGCAGAGATCAACTTTCAAGCCTTGAATGGAAAAGTCAGAAAATTTAGCAAACATTTCACAGCTTTTACTTCAGTTTTTGAGCACTGTGCCCTCCTGCCTTGTCCTATTTGTGGTGTCTGGAGCAGGAGTGTAGCAAGAACCCCCCACCAGCTCTACAGACCCTGGGGTGGCTGCTCTGCTTTGTGCCTCTGTTGAGTGAAGGATTTGTTATTTCTTGCTCAGATACTTTAAATTTCTATTCCTGTTCTGAGAGGGGCACCCAGTGATGTGCAGGCAGGTTCTGAGCTGTTTGTCTGGGCTGCCAGGAGGGCAGAGCTGACCAGTCCCATACCTTGTTTTATCTGTCACAGCTCTTTCCCAGCACATCTTGAAGATTCTTTTCTACATTTTGGTCCAACATGCACTAAAATCAAACTTTCTTGGTTTCTTGCCTGATTTACATTTAAGGGGATGAGCTTGTGCTGGTTGATTTTAATACAACATCAGTTCTAAAATACTTTTTCCACTGGAAGACTCCAGCTTTTCTGGCTGTGCTGAAAGTAGCATTTGGTATAAGCCATAAACCCTGCTGCAAACAACTTAATCTGTTCAGAATGAGGCTGGAAAGGAAAAAGAGCACTACAGCAAACAAAGGCTTGTGTGTCCTTGTTTAAGGCTGGGAATCCCATGGCTCTGAGAGATGAGTTTTGCCCTTGGAGCCCTCTAACAATTTAAGACATTTTTATTCCAGCTGTTTGCCCAGCCTGGAGCAGAGCTGCCTCACCACTGAAAATGCATCTGAGCTCTGTGAAAATGCACTTTGAATCATCTCCTGTGTTATTGCACCTGAGACAGGGAAGATGCTTAAAGTTCATAAGGGAGCTGAGATCAAATTTAATCATCTGTGCACTGCAGACAATTGTATTTCCCATTTGCTAAATCCAATTGTTGGTGTTTCATTCAAGTATCTGCTGAAGAGACTTCTTGCTTTGCCTTGCAGTGAAAAGGTGAATCAGTCAATTGTTTTATTTCTTCCAGAGGTTAATCACCTTTCTTTATAAAATGTTTGTGTCTCCTTTGATGTTTCAGTCAATGTGTCTTCAGCCTTTTGCCACTGGTTCTTGGTCTGTCCTGCCAGACACCAGTTCAGCCCCCAGTAAAATTCATCTTCTCTCCTCACCCCCAGCCTGGGTCCCAGTTACAGCCTGGTGTCCCACCCCAGCAGGGTTTAATTGGGTAAAATTGTGAGTTGAATCTCCTCTGTGTCCCAGGTCAGTGATTCTCAGAATATTCCACCCCACTCACTGCAATTAAATCAGCAGCCAGGGCAAAAAGTGCTCAATTTATGCCTGACTCCTCTGTGCACCCTGTGATAATCCTCAGCTAAACTGATCATGAGATTGTGCTGCTTAAAGCCAGTGTTTATCTTTGCAAGCACTTAAGGCATTAAGTGTCAGTATGAGAGGAAAATGAAACGTTGGCAGAGAGTTTTTGGAAACAAACATCAACTGGAATATTAAGAGGCTTGATGCAAGGAGCAGATTTATGGTTTCATCTGACAGGTTTGAGTCTTAAATAAGGGAGATAAAGATAATAAATGTTGTAGCATGTCTGATTTACAGCTCTGATATGAGATAAGTTGGCTGCTCTGTACAGATTACAACTGAGATTCCATAGCTGTATCCACATTAACAAATATAATATTCTCACATTAAGTGAGAATCCAGAAGTGGGATTGTCCAAAAACTTTGTTTTTTAGAAGGAAGATACAGCCAGATGCAAGATGCTTCCTGGAAAACAGCTTAAAAGAGGAGGAAAGTGCTGATTTCTGACTTAAAAACTAGTTTTGTGATTCAGCCCAAAAAGTTTTTCATCAACCCTGTCATTCCAACTGAACTAAAAGTGTTAGGGGAAAAAAAGGCAAATAATTCTCAAACAGAATATGGTATCTGGGGACAGCCAGCACATGGATATGGAAAACAGCTGCTGGTCTGGATTGTACAGGGAATTTTGACATGTAGATATGGGCACTGCAAAATAGACAAAGTCACTTTGCACCTAGAAAAGAGAACAGTGCTTCTCTTACTCTTACCAGGTGTTTCTAATAGCCCACAGAATAATTTGTGACTTTGTAATAAGAATCTGTTTTAGGACCAAGAGTTATGGTTCTTGCCTGAAAAAATATTGGGATTTTTTGCATAAAACTTTAGGGACTTTTGCAGGAATGTTATTCTCAAGAATTGTAACAGCTTTTAGTTTTATCTTGGTTTGGAACTCAGCAAAATTGAAACACTGACATTTGAGGTTAAATACACTTCTGGTGCTCTTTGTTATGGTAACACCCCCTTCAGTGCTACATTCAAGAAGAGAGCTGAAAATTCACACTTTGCCACAGCACACTTTAAATCTTGTCTGAGCCAGATTTCATTGAACTTTCCTCGCATGGAACTGTTCTTGGCTCGCAGTAACCCAGAAATCCCGGTGAGGAGTTCACACCTTTGCTCGGGGCTGATCTCACCACAGCTCCTTTGCTCTCACAGTCTCACCCTGCTGAGGACACCCCTGAGAGCTCCTGGAGTCCTGATTTTGGCAGAACGCTTCTCCCCACGAAAACCAGCATCGTTCTTCAGCGGGACAAGATTCAACTCTTATTATTTTTAAATCATGTCACTAATCTACTCATTGGAGCCTTGCCCTGGTGTAATAAAACCACGTTGAAATTGCTGAAGGGCTCAGCTGCTGCCTCCAGCAGCTGCCTGGCTGTAATTTGCCAATAGGATGTATTACATCCTGATTACAGCTTCTTTTGAGTGATAGGCCAAAATTACAAGGCCGAAATGCGGCTAATCATGATAAAGGAGATAAGTCTATTCATCTCCTGCTTGCATTTAATATTTGCACAGCAGATGCTGTTTGTTCCCTTCAGCTTCATTTCCACAGAAATTTGCTCTCATTCTGAAGAAGTCGTGAGGTTAATGAAAAACTTTATTGGACATTTTGATAGTGGAGAGAGGGAGGAAGGTGGAATATCTTGGAAGGTTTCTCTTTGTTTCCCAGCCCAGATAAACTTACACAAATCAACCAGCCCTTGAAAGACAAGCAAAGTGAGTAACTCCAGGCCAGAAGCAATTTTTAGGAGGAATTTCTTCACTGAAAGGATTGTCAGGCACTGGAAGTGGTGGAGTCACCATGCCTGGAATTGTTCAATGAACAACAGGAGATGGCTCTCAGTGCTCTGGTTTTGGTGACATGATATTGTTGGGCCAAAGGTTGGACCTGATGATCTTGGAAATCTTTTCCAACCTTAATGATTCTGGAATTCCAATCTTCCTAAAACACTCTGGGAACTCCTGATGAGCAGTGTTGCAGCAAAAATAGGCATTATTAATTCTTTCTATGTCTCCACCACTGTGGGTGAAAATACAACCCACAGCAGAGTCCCTGATGCATCAGATCAGAGCAGCCACTCACAGACGCTCAGCTCCCCGGGGGTCTCAGAACAGAGACAAATTCCAATTTATTTTGTGTTCTTGTGATATGCCAAGCATGAGACCCCAAACACAGCACAGATAATTGATCTCAAGCTTTTGCTCTTCACGTCCCAGCCTTTCTGCTGCTCCATTTTTGCCAGTTGTTCCTTGCACGATTAACTGTAAGCACAGAAGGAGAATGCCTGCAAACACTGTAGTGTAAATATTTTCCAGCCAAGTTAGTGCAGACCCCAGAGATGTGTTTTAGGCTGCAGGTCAGATTAAGAGTTAGGCCAGGCTTGTGCAGCCCCTGGACCAGCTGAGCTGCTCCTACCACCATTGTAAAGGCTTGACACAACACCAGTGAAGTCACTCTCTGGTGGGAAATGAAAACCATTCCTACACTGAAATATAATCAACATTCTAGAAACAAAGCCATTTCATGGCTAATTCAGATTACTCCTCAGGAATGTGAAGTAAATAAAATGAAACATTAAATTCTGGAAACACATTTTACCCCAAACTCTCCCAGGCATCCCCCTGGGATGTGCATCCATCAGCTTGGGCTGGGTGTGTTCCCAGGACATTCTTTGTGACCAAGATAATCTCCTGTTTGACTGAGGCTTTGACAGGCAGGGGTTTGATTGACTTGGCTGTTGCAGTGCTGCCAGAGGGACAGGACTGCACAAACAGGAGTCCCTGCTGGTTGGCAGCACTGACCCAGTGAGGCCAGGGGCACAGCAGCAGCCCTGCTCCCCTGCATCTCACCCCAGCTTTTCCCCACAAAGTGCTCCATAGCATCACCAGGGTGGTATCCCTACACAGCCTGCCCTCAAAGATGAAATTGAGGTTGGAAAAAACCCAACCCCACTGGTTCTCTGCTATTACACTCATTCATTATGATTATTTTTTTTTTCCCACAAGGATTTATCCTCATATTACAAATCAGTAATTCCTTCTCATTTTTCTCATGTGTTACCATGCAAACTTGATATTCCTGTGCTCAGCATCAGAGTCCATGTGCCTGTACACCACAGAAGTTATTCAAAGAGGGAATGTGGGATTTTCCATGCTCTAAGGACTGGATTAAGGATAGCAAAGCAACCAGAGCCAGGGTGATGCCTCCTTTGCCTCCATCCCTGGACCCAGCTTGCCAAACGCAACACAAGTGCTCCATTTGTCTTGCTGAGATGCCTAGGAAGGCTGAGAAAGCTGATTTGCCTCTGCTGAGCTCTTTCTTGAGGCCCCACCACAGGTGGTGCTGATGAATTTCTTGTGATGGTGCTGCCAGGCTTCACAACCAGGCAGAGATTTGTGCCACAGGGTGTCAAATTTGAGTTTATCGTGGTCACTGAACCAGCAAGGCAAAGCCTCAGAGCACACAAGCTCTCTGCAAAGCCTCTTCCCATTAGTTATGCCTGTCCCTGCTGTCAATCCTGTAAAAAACAAACATTTCCCTTCTTTCAGGGCAAGGTTTAGGAAGTCCTGTCCAGAACTGCAATGCCCCATGCAACCCTGTGCAGGAAGCTGCAAAACTTGTCTGAAAGTGTTGTTCTTGTTCCCAAATCTATTCCTGACCTCTCTACGTTTATTTTCCGTGGCTGTGAAATTCTCTTTGACCTAATTACAATTCCCACTTGGTGTTTTGGCACTGGAAATGGAGAAGCAGAGCTGCTGAACAAAGAAGTGTGTCAGGTGCACTGTGGTCACCTCTGCCTCTTGAGCAGAGAGGAGCAGACAAGGGCTGGGATCATTTTACACCTAAGCCAGTGTTTAATTCTCCTAAGAGCCCCAAGATTGCAGCAGCTCAAAGCTTCCCACCAAGGATTAAGAAACCTCCTAAATATGGGTTTGTTGCAGGGATGGTAAAAAGAACAACAGAGTCTCTGAGAACTGTTCTTGAAAAACATTTATTCTGTCATGGATTTACAGCTCTGACTCCCAAGCCCCACAGCCTCTCCCAGCAGGTCGTTCTGGGCACAGTTACCCTGGATGGAAAAACAAAAGCCATACAAAGGAGCCCCCCAAACAAAGTTTGGTACCAAAGTGAGCCCAGGTTTTCTCTGTGCTGTTGGATATTTAACCCCAGCTGGGATGGAGCTGCCCTGCCCCATCCCTTGGGCCCAGCTGGAGGATGTTCCCTGCCAAAGGCCCCAGGCAACTGAAGATGTTGTGTTTAACTGCAGAATAACCAGGGGGAACAGGGGTAGGGAAGGATTCAGCAGCTGCTATTTTTTTCAGACATCATTGAAAAAGGACATCTATGCATTTCAGTTTCACCTCCTGAGCCCCAGCATTAGCAAAGTCAGATACAAACCCAGAGACCAACGTACACAAAATAGTGACCAAGATCCAGACATTTCTAAGCCCCTCAGTTTACTGTGCTGTGACACCTCCAAAAAGCAACAAAACCCACTTTAGGAGTGTGGTGGATCTTATTTTTAAGAGGGAGGGACAGAGATGCAGCACAGAGCATAGCAACTGTCAAGCAATGTTTAAGGCAAATTTATTCCCATTTATCAGGAGTCAAAGAAATGGTTTTGTTTGTTGGCTTTGTTGTTGAAGCTGTTAGATAACATCTCAGCTGGACATTTCTGCTTACATGATTTAATCAGAGTTTGAGGGAAGTCATCTCAAGCTGATCTGAGCTTAGAACAGCAAATAATGTTATTCCCAAGAATATCAGTCAGAACAAATTTTTCAAAAATTAAAATAATTGATGTTCAGGACTCCCCCAAAACTTTCTTCCCTCAGAGACCAGGTTGAGCCCAAGTAAAACACACAGACATGAAGAAGGACACAGTGGCAAGCCTCTACAAACACAGGGCTGAGTAGGGCCAAAGCAGAGCCAAACCTAAATTCCACAGGTGTGAAACAGAGTTATGAGTAAAAAAAGGGGGAAAAAAGAAAAACAGAGCCCCAGAGAGGAATGTTTCATGAGAGAGAATGGAAAATAAAAGTCCTCGGAATGCAAAAAAGGGAGTTCTTAGGTGCAGCCACAGAAAGCTGGGGAGTTCAGTTGCCTCATCTCTCAGGTGTTAGTTTGTTGTGCCTTTGCCCTCCCTTGGAGATGCAGGTGATGGTGCCAGGAGGTTCCTGCCTTTACTCAGTCTGTGCATCATAATTAGCCCCCCCTGCTTTCTTCAGCTCGTTCTTGATGTAATCCTCATCCAGCTCTTTGTGGTCACTGATCACAAATTCTTTGGCAAAGTTCTGTAAGAGATAAAGAAAAAGCCTGTTAACAAAGGGGGATATTTTCAATTAGCTGATTGAAGGTGGGTTATCCAGCTTCCCTGGATGAATGAGCTGCATCCCCTGATCTCCTGTGGCTGGGATGATAAATAGCAAGCTGTGGATGAGACAGAGGGCTGGTGAAGGCAAAACCCAACACTTAACCTGGAAAAATGTTATGTATTCCACAGCCACTGGCTGCAGCAACAGTGCAGGGGTGCAGGGATGCACAGGCCAGGTTAGATCAAGTTCCCTAAGCAGTATGTGAACTGAAACCCTCAAAATTACTGACCTCCTGACCACCAGTGACCCTCAGCATAATCTTGGCCAAGTCACTAATCCTCTCTGTGCCCTTTTTAGGGCCCCTTCTCCTAAAAAAAGAACAGCACCACACCAGAGTACACCACAGTGTCACACCTGAGAAGGACTGAGCAGCACAGGGATGCTCCCAGGAGCAAACACAAGGCAGACATTGCCCCAGACCGGCTGTGCACAGGCTCTGCCCTGTGCTTTGTGTCCCAGGTGAGCTCCTGGGTGGATGCACTTGTGTGTGCAGGGCAGTTTCCTCCCTCTGGAGAGCTCTGCAGCTCTTGGAGCTGGGCAAGCCCCAGGCAGTGCTGGGATGAGAGGCTGGGACACAGAAAACCTTGCTGGGAGCAGAATGGGACCCAGGGTGCCTTTAGGGCTCCTGTCAGAGGCAGCTCAGGGATTTTTTCCCTTTTTGGGGCCTGTCCTTCCTGCCTCCCAGCAGGGCTGGCATGGCATCCATGTGTGTGCACAGCCATTCAGCAAACAGCCTGTTTGCTGCTTGCTTTAGCATTTTCCTCCCCTTCCTAACCACAACTGAGAGCACTGCTTGAGTCTCCCTTCCCCCACATGACAAACACAAGCATCCACTGCACTCCACCAAAAACATGAATAAATATCCCAACAGCTTTGCTGAGACATCTCAGGGAATCTGCAATGCCCCAATGGCTGGGCAGTGAGTTCCCCAAAGGGTGATGGAGAAGGAGGGCAGCAGGAATCTTGTGTGGGTCTCCCTGGCACAGGGGGGGCTCCTAATTGGTTTCAGCCTCTAAGCCACGGGAGAGCTCTTTATTGGCAGCATCCCAAGGGTCTGAGTTTGGGATCAGAGTCAGATAAAGGAGGGGGTGGAGGAGGATGCAGCTTGAAAGAGCCTCAGCACCTCTTTCATGCGGTGGGAGAGATGGAAAGGATGGAAAGCAGCTCCGTCCTCCCCCCTCTGGGCTGGGGCTGATCCTGTTTCACACTCAGGAAATCCTCGGAGCTGCTCTGCTGTGCCCGAGGGGCAGCTCCAGAGCGCTCAGCAATAACAGCCCTGCCTGCACTGCCCGCCTTTCCTGGCCGTGGGGACAGCACAGGCACTCAGCCACGGCCTGGCAGAGTGCAGGGAGAATGGGAAAGACATTGCTTTTGAGAGAAAAACAAATCCTTTTCTTTTTTTTTATTTTAAGACAGAAATAAAGAGGCAAACTGCCCAAACCATCAGATTTAGTCATGCTCACGAGTGTCCTACTTCCAGGTCTCCAGGGTGACATCTCTGCAAAGCTCAGCCCTTGCTAAGACCCACCCCAGCATTTTCAGCTGTTTGATGCTCCTGTGTGAGTTTTGAGCCGAGCCTTTTCAATTCCTTTTCTATGGCACCAGTTTTAACATTTTCCTCACCTTGGGAGCAAATTATCCAACACTACATTATTTCAGGGCAGGTCTTTGCCCCGCTTTAGTGAGAACTGAGGCAGGTCCATAAAACCATTTCTGAGAGGGATTCCATGAAAAGTGTATTTTATAAGTGTGGGGAGGATTTTCTTCAATGAAAAAGTGTATTTTATAATGAAAATGTATTTTGTAAGTGTGGGGAGGGTTTTCTTCAATGCCCACTCTGCAGAATCCAGCTGATTCTGAAATTGAAACTGCAAGTGCACTCATGCCCAAACAGAGGAGAGTTCATTACATGTGCCACACAGTAAATATAATTACTCAATGCCTTCTCAAGCAGACACTTATCCAGATGACTCCTGGGTGATGATTTGTGGGCAACAGCCACCATTTCACCAAAACACCCTTTAATGAATGAACAGTGTCCCCCTAGCAGTGGCCAGATGGGTTCTGCTCCCAGCCACTCTTAAATATCCTCTTAGCTGACTGGGCCACCTCTTGTGCCAGATTTGTACCCTCAGAGTGCAATCTGGGTCACTGCTATTAATAACTCTGCTTTATTCCATTCTCTCAGGGTGCTCCTTGGTTCCTCACACCAGCTCTGACCCACCATGGTGTCTCCTCAAGCCTGGCCCCAAGGAGGGAAGATGCTTTTGGTGAGTTTGGTGCCTGGAATTTGTGATTTTAACATCCTGCTTGACCTTCACCAGCCTCATCACCCTGAATTTACTGTCTGAGCTCTCTGAGCTTTAGTTCAGGCTGCAAATCCTAGGGCACAATGCATAACTCTGATGCTTGGGCCCTTGATTTGCTGACATGTGTCTTCATCTTCCATCCTCCACTTCCTTTTCCCTTCTCCTCCCCCCAACCCCAGCTTTCCACAGCCACAGCAAGCCCTGCCAGTGAATTCTAGCCTTTGTCTTCACCCCAGTCAGCAGCAGCCTCCAGATAACAAAAACAATGATGCCATTTATCTTTCTCACTCTCACAACACAGCAGTGACCACAGGCTCTTTGCTTTGCCTCTCAAATCAGTGAGCAGCTCACAGAAATACTGAGGTTCACTCCTGGTTCTCCAGTGCTCCTCTCTGGCTCCAGCTCCTCTTTGTGCCTGAGGTCACAATTTTGAAATCCCACACCAGGCACAGACTGAGAGGGCTCCAACCATGCAGGAGCAGAGAAGGAGCCTGCACCCTCCCTAGGTAGTATGAAATTTGTGCAGAAAGCTCAATCCTTCTCTTCCAGCCAGCTTAAAGGGGGAAAAAAGGGTGGAGTAGATTTTCTTCCTCTCTTCCAAGCCCTGAATGTTTAGCATATGGGCCATAAAATTTCCCTAAATTGCCCAAGGGAAAATCTGTGTGGTGCAGATATTGTACCAAACCAGGTCTGCAGAGAGCCTTAAAAATCCCAGCCTGGGAAGCTGAAACCAGGAGTAAAATCCTTGTATAGTCCACAGACACTTCCCAGCAGCCACAGATGGTGCCAGGTAGCTGAGCAGCCTCTTGTCATTTTTTATTTATTTTATTTTTACTGGGGCTTGCAGCAGCTTCTGCTGATCTTCAGAACCCTCAGTTCTACTGCGCTTAATGTCACCACTCCCATGCACTGGTCACCTCAGCCTCAGTGCAGAGGAGATGACATCTCCCACGTTTCTTTTCCAGCATGGTCTGAGTCCCAGCCCTACAGCAAACCTGCTCCTGCACTCAGCTGTCAGACTCCAAGCTCAGCAAAACCCTCTCTTCAAATCCACTGCCTGCCAATTTTACATGGAGCAGTTCCAGACTGTGAGAGAAGCCAGTCCAAACCTCTGGCAAACACTTGTCTCAGCAATGGGAGCTGCATTTCAGCTGCTCTGCAAATTCTCCCTGCTGTGCTCCATCCCACTGCAAGAGTCACAAGCCTGTGTGTCAGACACAGGGAGATGAGAAGCTGCTGATTCTGACCCTCTTCTCTAGACTGGGAGTTCTTGTAAATCCATATCCATTGGGTATGGTCATTACAGTAAACCAGAACAGGAAAAAACAGCCCAAAAGGAGAATTTGTTTTGCCTTCCCAGCAGGATCTCACTCACCCTCATGAGTAACTGTGACATAGCTGTTCCCTGTGAGTTTGATTTCCTGCCTCTAACAAAGCTACAAAACCTTCTGCTTTAATTCAGCTATTTCATCTTCTGCTCAGGACTCTGTACTGATATGAGAAAACCAAAGCACATTCAGGGAATTCTGTGGGATTCCAAAATCAGGGACAGGGACCCCATCAATGGGGCTCCCTCATGGGACACATCATCAGTGCATGAGAAATCCAGAGGAAAAGGGAAAGGTGAGCAAAAAAAAGATCTGGGTATGAGCTGCAAAACAGGAACCCAGTAGAGCTGTTGACATCATGAAAGCCAGATGAATTCCTCACCAAAAATAATGATGAATAAAATGCCTTGAATATTTGCTCACAGAAACAGAGCTGTTTTACCCTGAATATGAATTAGGGAAATAACAGAGCACATGATTTTGTGGGGGAAGGAGTGCTGATGAAAACAGAGTCAAAATCCATGGAAAATCTGACAAACTGGCAAAGATTGGGCAGTCCCTTTGCTGGGAGAGTCCTGCAGGACATGAATTCATCCCTGTCAGGAAAAAGACCCCAGTGCTGCCTAAGGAAGAGTTCAAATCTGGTAGGAAATGCAGTCATGAAGGGACAGAGTTCACAGAGAGGAAGGAGCACTCAGAGGGAAACCAAGCTCCATTTCTTTGGTGTTTGCATCAGAACCACCCCATTGCAGCACCAGGGGCCACTCCCAGTGCCTGGGCTGGTCCTTGCTGTGGGCTCTGGTGACCAAAGTGCAGCTGGCAGGGGACACCAGGGCTGTGGGTGGCTCTCTGAGCACATCTGCCAGCTCACCCTGGCCACAAGGTGACACATGGCTGCTGCTGCTCCTGCCAAACAGATGCAGAAGTCACTGCTCCATGAAGTTCCCAGTTGTTTAGATTGCTCCAAGGGCAGGTTTAGACTCTACCCCAGAAATTATCTCCCAAATATCTTTATCAGCCACCTGCAATGGGAAACTCTGTGCCATTCTTCCCCCATTAGACCTGTCCTTGGCATGGAGAGGAGCCCATGGGCAGGAGGTGGGATTGTGCATCCCCCTGCTCCATTTCACAGCAGCCTCACACAGCAGGACTTAGCTAGACCCATTTTTACAGATAAATACTTGTTCCCCATCCTGGCCTTACTTCTCATCTGCTCCCAGTTGAACCAGGCTGCAGGCTGGAGCCAACATTTCCTGCTGAGTTAAGGAGGAAAGGATGGAAAAATAAATGGCTGTGGGGGAAAAAAATAGCTCCTGATAGTTCCTTAAATGGATTTGTCTACAATCCAAAAGAAATACAATAAACTCAAAACCCATTTTCCAACAACATTAAAGAGCTAATGAGCATAGGTCCAAGTAGGGCCAGAAGATCTGGCTCCCATCTAGCACAGATCAGAAGAACTACAGCTATTTGTAGCAGATGAGATCCATCCCTGTCATTTTACAGTTATTACAGCTAAAAATCAATTGTTCTTTCTTCCTGAGAGGTTTTCTGGCAACCTCCTGCACTCACTATCAGCACTCCAGAGCCACCTCCCCATGGATTTCACAGCACCTGCTCCTCCTTCCAAGGCAGGAACACAAAATTTGCCAGGGCAGCCCAGTTCCTCCCTCTGCTCTGTAATAGTTCACAGCCCATAATCCCCTGCTCACCAGCTCATGTCCTTGTGTTTTCCTGATGGCAGGTGCTTCTGGGAGCCCAGTAACCATCCCTGGTGGGATCCTCTTTGTCCCAGGGATGGCAGGAGGTGCCTGAGCTGACTGGCTTTCCCTTGGTCTCTCAGGAACATTAACATTTATTGGTGTTTGCTGAGCCCTGAGCAGAGCTCAGCCCAGCTCAGGATATAAAACAGGAATCTCCTCACACTTGAGTGTTAAATAAAGACCCACAGGTGCTTTGGCAAGTAGTGCAAGATTGTGAGAGCCCTTCAGGGTTTGCTGAGGGCTTCTCAGAGTGAAGAGTGCTCTTCTGGAACCCCAAACTGTCCCTTGTGCAGCTCAAAAATCCTCCTTGTGCCACCCTTCCACAGGGTGAGTGCACCTCTGGGCCCACCTGCACCCAGACCAAAAACCTCCCACCCTAGGGCACTGCTTATTCTAAATGATGAACCAACACTGCCTCAGAGTTGGAATTTATCATTAAAGAAAAAAACAAAAGTGTATTTTTCTATGTATAACTCACATCTCAAATAATCTCCGTAAAAAACAGAACACTGAGAATGTATCTGAAGGTCAAGGGAGCTGCTAAGAGTGAAATAGCTCTGAGATAAACTCCCTCCATTACATTTCAGCAGGACTTTCTTGTCCTTGTTTATTCTGACAGATTACCTGCAAGGTCACAGGCATACAGAGAAGAAAATGGTTCTGCTTTATCTCACTGCACTCAGAGGGATTCAGTTGCATATAAAGAACTATTCCAAATACTTGTCAAGATAATTTCTACTGGACAGGAGATCACCTTTGCTGTGACATTCAGAAATGCTTTGCAAGCATTTATAGACAAGGTTGCTCAGTAAAAGTGTATCAAGCACCAGTTGTATTGTTTTTATATTTCAGTACAGACTAATTGGAATATGAAAGCTTTTAAGTAACAGCCAAGAGTGGTTAATGCTCCACCAGATTATTAACTTGTACACACTACTAATCAAAGATGAAACAAGTGAAATTGCAAATTATATGTAACAGACCTAGGGACAGATCTGAGCACAGGGCTCAGGAATGCTATTCAACTCAACAGGAATACATTGTCTAAACAGATTTTAAAGAAAATCTTGGGCTTAGTGACTCACATAAGAGTCATTCATTAGTACTCTATAATTTCATCTTCAGCTACAATTACGCAGTTTCAGCTGCTTCCCATGAGCAGAAACTTGCTTTCCTGTTCTCAGGTGTCATTCTGGAAGTTTCTTTGGAGAACAGGCCCCTCTGAGTTGTCATTCTGAAACATTCAGCATCAGAGTTTATCCTCTGGAAGGACAGGGATGTATTATCTTCATTCTTCTTATCTAAATGCAATCCTCTGTATCATATAAACTACCAAAGAGTTGAGGGGGCTTCATTCTCACCCTTCCAGTGTCCTGTTGGGAGGTTTCTTTACACTGGAAAGAGCTCATTTATTGAGAGAGATTAATTTAATCATCAGCCTGTTATCCAAGAGCATAAACAAAACCATTTCTCATGCTCTGGTGAGCTGGTTCTATGTTTCATTGGAAGAGCTAATTTTGCTCTATATACTCCTCCAGAAGAAACATTCCAAACATCAGCATCCTCTCCATCACAGCCAGGTCTCAGCTGTGCCTCCCAGAGTCACTTCTCTCCTGGCTGTTGTTTGTTCTCACTTGGACTGAGCACATTTCTCTTTCCCCTGCTACGCCCAAGGCCAAACAAAGCCTGTTCACATCTAGTTAGCCATTAAGAGCTGTTAGTTAATTGGTGCCACGGGGACTTCAGACTTTGGGTGATTAGCTCCACAAATCCACCGTGCAAAGGCAAAAGGCCTCTGGAGAAGTTTAAACAAGGGTGTGGGTTTTCCTGTTTAATTTTACCTGCTGAACTGAATACTGCTGATGATCATTCAGTAGTGAGTTATTTCCATGGCAAGCAAGGGAATGGGAGACATCTCAGTGGTGCCAAGGAGGGGAGTGCAGAAATTCCCTCCTCGTGGAATAGCTAAGGCAGCCTTAAGCTCAAAAGATGCTTCTTTATGCCTGAGTGCTCAAAGGGCAGATGTTAAGCCTTCCTAGGAGGAAGACAGGCAATAGGAAACTGTATTTTTTTTAAAGGATTAACTCCTACGTTGGAGGATGAGCCAACCCTTCCCTCTCTCTGCCTCCTGCTGCTGTTGGTACAGAGAACAGCGAAGGGAGCTGCTGGTTAGGAGCAAAAGGAAGAGCTTACCTGTACTACTTCCTTGACCAGAGTCTTGTCAGTCCCAGTTTTGGCTCTCTGCAGGCCACTGACATCCTCTCCAATCCAGGTGATGAGGGCAAACTTGACTCTCTTGCTCATGGCATCGCCGGTGGTGAATCGGACAAAGCCGAACAATCGCACATCGTCTGCAATGAGGCAAAAAAGGGACCAAAGGATTAAAACCAGCAACATCCCTGCCTTCCCCTCTGCAGGGTGAGCCTACAGCTCCCAAACACCAAGGCAAGGCACTGATCCTGTGTCCAGTGCCAGCATTTGGGAATCAGGGCTCTGCTCACATGCCCTGTGCTTGCAAGGTGTGCTTTGCCCGTGTGGGCTCTGCCCCTTCTGGGTTCTCTGAGTTACTGGAGGAAACTGGCTGTGCTGGACACCCCAGACCACAGTGGAAATGGCTAAAATACAGTCAGCAGGCAGGTCAAGAGCACAGTTACACATTGAGCCAAATGATTCATCTGCAGGTCTGGTGAAGAAGGGAAGACAGTGATATCCTGGTGTCTCCTTCTTACAGAATAGCAGGATTGGGGTCACACTTTATAACATTACCAGAAACCATTACCATATCCTGACCTCTCTTTCTTACAGAATAGCAGGATTAGGGTCACACTTTATAACATTACCAGAAACTGGCCATTGTGCAAGTGTGAGCTTTCTCCCTCCTTCCACCCATTTCTGGCTCACTTGTAGTATGAGTTTACAAGAACGAGGGGAGAGGAAGGAGGAAAAGAAAAGTCTGCAATGACTTGCCCAGGTGTGTTTTTCTATTCCTTCCAAAGCCCTGGAGGGAAAAGCCCTGGACTTTAGAGCTGTGCTGATCCCTGTTTCACAGCTGGCTCATGCTACATCACACCAGACTGATTTAGCCTGGCCATATGTGTGACAACCTTGCAGGCTCTTATCTCAGAGAGCTCCTTCCTCCATCTCCTGTGACTCATGGAGCAGTTGGAAGCTTCCTGATCAGGAGCAAGCACCATCCCCCTGCATCCCCAGGCTCCAAGGGATGCTGGAACCTTCCACCAGGAGGGCAGAAAGCAGAGCAGATGGACACTTGTGCAATTGTGGGATATTCCTAATAATCAATATTTCAATCTTCATCTCTCAGAGGTCACTTGAGGCCTTCAAAGGAGGTGACTCAAAGCAGAAGAACAAACCTGCTGTTAGAGAAGACTCCTGGTAATCTTGGCACACTTGTTGTGGCCAGTTCAAAGTGCCTTAGAGGGATTTGCTGGGCTGACTAATTGCCAGGTGAAAATGTTGGCTCCAGGTGTAGGAATGACTGCCAACATCCCCAGCACACTCTGTGAGCAGCCAGGACAGCCCCAGGAGCTCTGGAGACAGGGGAGAAGCAGCTCTAAGTTGCTCATCCCCTGAAAATAAGCTGCTAGAAATCAATGCTAAAAAGAATTTGGATATTCTCTGCAAGCTAACAGATCTCAGAGCTTCTTTAGCACTTTGATTTGCCAAAGTGTGGACAAATACAAATTCTCCTTGATAAAAGAGAAGACTTTTTTAAATCTGAAAAAAATCCACCTCTGCTCTCCCTGTTTTATTCTCTTTGTTCTTTTTTATTTTTTTGTTACTGACTGAGTAATACTGGGCAAACTGGAAAATGGATGTAGGGGGGTGTGTGAGCCAGTACAATGTTCAAAACAAACTCCTCTCAAGATTTCAAAATAGAAACAAAAAGAAAGATCTTATTCAGAGGAAAAATCCAGATTGATCTTTGGAAGGAGAGAAAGAGTCGTGGATCAACAATGCAGGCAAACAAAACTTCTCTCTCAGTTGCCTTGATGCTGGTGAGTGTAGGAAATGCACGTGGGGGCTGCTGGTTCTGACAGCAAATCCTCTTCCCAAGATTGATTAGAGCCATAAATGAAGCGACAGCCAGGAAATACCCAAGGTGAAGAGAGACAGTAAATCCCCTAATGTTACAATTAACAGCTCCAGGAGCCAGCCTTGCTTCCCCAGCTCTGACAGCAAAGGAGGCCACACTGCCCAGGGCTGTGCTGTGCCTCCTCTGGGAACAGCCCGGGCAGTCCCAGAGTGCTGGGAGCTCCTGCACTGCAGTGGTGTCACACCCTTCCCATGGAACCCTCTGTCCCCACCTTGGGTTCTCATCCCTGTCACAGAGCCTGAACACTGTAACATGCCCCTTTGTGATAAAGATAGTGGAAAAAAGACAATAAATGTGAAAAACCAGTGCTTTTTCATAGCAGCACAGAGAGGGAGCTCCAGGGATGCCCCATCCAAGTGTCCAAGGCTAGGTTGGAAGGGGCTTGGAGCAATCTGGGATAATGAAAGGTGTCCCTGCTTATGACGTGATCTTTAAGGCTCCTTCCAGCACAAACCATTCTGGGATTCTGTGAATTTGTCAGTCAGAATAACTTCCCTTTGACATTATCCCACAGCTCAGTGGCAGCAGCAGGATTTGCTTCTCAGCAGAACTCTCAGTGCTTGCCCATCCTGGCTGAAGAGAGCCAAATGCAGCAATTCCAGCTTTCATCCATGAGATCACCTGAGCACGAACAACCCTTGACTTCACCATGTCCTGTAAGTTTAATGAGCACCTGAGGTTGGACTGGGGCTCTGAGTCACCTTTGGGCAGATTTTCCTGGGGCTGCCTCACTTGTGGGGGCTTGAAGGGGTCACACCCAGCTGGGTCCTGTCTCCTCCTGTCTCCCCATGGAGTTTAAACCCCACTGGAGGCAGAGCAGGCCCTTTAGCACAAACAGGATATTTAGCACAAACGTGATGCCTTAGCTGCTGCACACAAAGCCGGAGGGAATGTGAATTGGAGCCCTGAGCAATTAACATGTCTCAGTTCCTAAAAGGGCATCAGGGACGGATGGAGAGGTTTTTAGCACTGGCTCAGCCTGGGTATAAGCCTCTCCAAGTGGAGGTCAAAATCCCTGAGCAGAAGTGGCTGAGTTTCACAATTAGTCTGAAGCGTGTTCGGAGTGATAAGGGGATCAAAACGCAAGTTCTTCCCTTCTCCCAGATTTCCTCTTTCACAGTTCATCAGTTCTGCCCTGCCACATCAGCTCCCCACGCTGGAAGTCATCAATGCCATCAGTGCCAATTCCCAGAGAAATCTCAAGGCATTAACATCCAGCAGCCCCTGCTCACACAAAAGCACTCACGGTGGTTTTAGGAATTTGCTGGGAGTGAGGGGAGCAGAACAAATCAGAGAGAGACAGCACAGATTGCCCCTGAAGGAGGAAATCCTGCCCAGAGCTGTGCCACCCCTTCCCAGCCACTGAGACATGAATTTCAGGGCAGAGAGAAGTGAATAACTGGTCCGGGGAGAACGGAAATAGCAGCTTTATTTGAGATCACACAGGATCCAAACAGCAGAAATTAACAATGTTTATTCAATTAATACCACGGCTCCCTTCACCATGGCTGGACAAACAATGAGCAGCACAATGAATGCCTTAACCAGCATCACTTGGTATTTCTCTCCAAACTCTTTATTTATCACTAAGACAGGATTTTCCAAATATTCTGCTTAAACTGCCCTTGACTGTCAACAAACCTTGATGCCAAACTACAGAGATTTCCTTCATGGTATCCTTCCCTTTTTCTACATCCACTCAAGTGATTTGGTTCAGCTGTGTTGAAAAATTCCCCCTTAGATTAAAATGCAGTGAGTCATCAGTAAAAGATAATAGCTGCAGGAAAGAAATTCACTGCCAAACCAGCAGGGTTCTGAGGGCTCTGAGTGGCCAGGCCAGGGATGTGCCACAATAAAACCCTGCTCCATGATAAAACCCCTGCTCCATGATAAAACCCCTGCTCCCAGCTTCACCTGCCTGCTGAACCAAGGTCACAGGCAGCCAGGCAGGTGATGGACTGACCTGCTTTTGTCTTCTGTCCAACATGAATTACCACAGGACGTGACAGGTTCCATGAAGATTTAATTTGTTTGCTTCAATTGGATTAATATTAGATTAATTTGTCAATTTTCCACCTCTTCAGTCAGCCCTGTGGTCACGTGGCTACAAGTGCAGATAGAAATGTTCCTTCCCTCTTCCTACACTGTTTTTTCCTCTTAAACCCTGCACTAAGCCCCCAGCTCTCGTGCAGGGCTGCCTTACTCTACCCCTAAGTGTTCATTAAACCATTTCAGACCCCACCACAGGGCTTTGCTGGGGCACCAAACTTCTCCAGGTGACTCAGGGTGGCCCATGTGAGTGCAGGGACACAAGTGCAGGGACAGTGACCCCACAGTGGCTGCTCTGCCACAGGGGGTGCTGCTACCACAGTGACAGTCACGGCTCCTCTCCTGACCTGGGTGGATGCTGAGGGCAGAGTGGGAGCAGAAGGGGACCCAGCTCTTCCCTGAAGGAAGGAATGGTGCTGCTGGTTGGCCAGAAGGGCCAGGCAGGCCCCAAAACACAGGGCAGGCAAAAGGTACAAAGCTCTTCTTTCCCTGCTCCTGTGCCCACCATGGGATGGCAAAGGCAGGCCCACAGCCATGATATTTAATTAAACACCACAAAACCAAGAGCTACCATCAGTTACCATCACAAAACCAAAGAGTTACCATCGCAAAACCAGAGTTACCATCAGTTATCATCACAAAACCAAAGAGCTATCAAGAGTTACCACAAAACCTAAGAGTTACCATCAGTTACCATCACAAGGCCAAAGAGTTACCAAGAGTTACCAAAAAAACCAAGAATTACCAAGAGTTACCAAAAAAACCAAGAGTTACCAAGAGTTACCACAAAACCAAGAGGTACCATCAGTTACCATCACAAAACCAAAGAGTTACCA